ATTTTTTATTTATTTCCAGTATTTATATACTGTCCCAATCCTAAATGATTGAGTGGATAACAAGATGAAGCATACAATATGAAAAAACAAAGCAAAAGGTGTGAGGTAAAAAGGCTCTAAGCACAACTAAGGACGAAAAGCAGGCTTTTAAAAAGCCATATAATAATTGCTGAGTGAATCAAGTATCCTCCAGGTTTGCCCCAGTCAAGCTGATAGTAATAAGAGCAACAATTAGGTGACCTTTGGAAAGGGTAGGTCTAGGTCTAATGTGGCCTTCCAGGAGCTAGAAAATCTCTGCTTTTGCAATCCACTCAAACTAAAAATGTTTATACCTAGTCATCTGTTTGAAAGGCAATTCCTTTTGGTTTTAGAAGTATCCTTAAATAAAACTCCTGAAAAATGTATTCTTTCTTTTCTCAGACTTACCATGTTAATATTAGCATAATGGCAAAACATTTTTAGTGACTATTTCAGATAAATTCCAAATGCCCAAAATAACACAGATTTTCTTCAGTTCTAGGGAATGCATATTTAGCATCCTTATCATGAAGAAGAATCCTATAATGTGCTCAATCAGTACAGATTATACTATTTTAGTTTTGGTCATGAGTTATATCTATCTATCTTAGGAGGAAATTTAAAGTATTCAGTATCTTAAGATTTTATATTCAGGTCTGCTTAATGCAGAAATATTGTTGCTGCCTTCTCAGAAGACATAAATGCATCCTGCAGCATAAATTACTAAAAATTCTGAAAATAATTCATATATTTCAGCCTGGGCAGACCTTTTGCTTTAATTATTTCATAAATTCTATATAAACATAGAATATAATTGTCTTTTGTATTTATCCCATTTTAGTCTGTTTTTCTTAAACAAAACTGATATTTAGCTCCTTAAAATTATAGATGTGTTTTTACCATTAGCAATTCTGAAAAGAATACTGTACAGAACTATGGCATATCTTTTGGCTTGCAGAGACTGTAAACTTACATGTTTTGATAAAAAAGAACATGAGCAAACCCTTGGCCAACAAATCCAATTTTTCTTACTCTGGCAGCAACTCTCCAAGCCTTCAGGTCAACCAACAAACCAAATTTTATTTCAGTTTTGTTGTTTAGTCGTTAAGTCGTGTCCGACTCTTCGTGACCCCATGAACCATATTGCGCCAGGCCTTCCTGTCCTTCACTGCCTCCCTGAGTTTGCTCAGTTTCATGCTCATTGTTTCAGTGATGCTATCTAACCATCTCATCCTCTGCCGTCCTCTTCTCCTTTTGCCTTCAATCTTTCCCATTTCAATTCTCTTCTCCAAAGAGATCTCTCTTCGCATTAGGTGACCAAAATATCTGAGCTTGAGCTTCATTATCGATCCTTCCAATGAGCAATCAGGGTTGAAGCAAACTGTAGTTTGTGGTAAAGCACTGTGGAAGGAGGCTGGAGTAAGGAAAATGTGTTAAGAGGAT